GGTTGTCCAGCCCATACTTTCTTAGAAGGAAGCCAAACTGGTGTTTCCAAAATAAATGATACACTTGAAGACAAATACACATATATACACAAACACATACACAAGTGTGCCTGCATACACAGAAACACATACATATTCTTGCTGTTATGTGCCTTCAAGTCATTTCCAACACAGGGCGAGATTGGCAATATCTGTTCAGTGGTTTGCTATTAACTTCAGATTTACACATAAATATATGTCTGCCCACAGACACACACACGCACATACACATACAGACAGACAGACAGTGGGCCCTCTGTATCCACAGATTCTTTATCTGCAGATTCAAGCATCTAGAGCTTGAAAATATATACATCCCCATAACTCCCTCTGAAGGAACTTGTCAAGAAAACAGTTATAGGATTCCCTTAGGGTCGGCGTAAGTCAGAAAACACAACAACAACATATGTATATATGTCTATGTCTATATATAAATTCCAAATAGCAACCCTGATTTTGCCATTTTATATCAGGTACACCATTTTCCTAAATCACTGTATTTAATGGGACTTGAGTATCCACAGATTTTGGTACCATTGGGGGTCCTGGAACCAAACCCCAGCAGATACCAAGTGCCCACTTGGTGTAGTGGTTTGAGTGCTGAACTACAACTCTGGAGACCAAGGTTCGGATTCCAGCATGCTATATGAGAACTGCAAAAATCTGTATACTGTTATTAGGCCAACTAGAAGAGCACAAAATGTATTACCTAATATAGTGTGTGTGTGTAGTGGCTTGAAGCGTAGCCTCCAAACTCTGGAGACCAGGGTTTGGATCCCTGCTCAACCATCAAAACCATTGGGTAACCTTGGGAAAGTCTCTCTCTCTTATCCTCAGAGGGTGGCAAAGGCAAAAAAATCTTGCCAAGAAAACCCCATGACAGGTTCTCCTTAGAGCCACCATGTTGGAAAGGATCCGAAGACACAGCACAACACACATACGTGTATATATCATGTATGCATGCAAGTACATAAATATTTCCTTTTATGTACCTTCAAGTTGTTTCCAACTTATGGTAACCCTAAAGCAGGGGTAGGCAACCTTTCCCCTTTAAGGGCCGAGGGACTTCAGCTTCCAGAATCCCAGGAGCTATTGGCCAACATAGGACTATTGGCCAACATGGCTGAGGCTTCTGGGAGCTGAAGTCCCTTGGCCCTTAAAGGGGAAAAGTTGCCTACCCCTGCCCTAAAGTGAACCTATCATGGGCATTTCTTGGCAAGATGTGTTCAGAGGAGGTTTGCCATTGCCTTACCCTGAGGCTGAGAGAGTGTGGCTTGCTCAGGATCATCTAGTGGGTTTCCATGGCTGAGCTTGGAATCAAACCTTGGTCTCCAAAGTCCTAATCCAACATTCAAACCACTACACCACACTGACTGCACATTGCATATACCAGGGGTAGGCAACCTTTCCCCTTTAAGGGCCGAGGGACTTCAGCTCCCAGAATCCCAGGAGCTATTGGCCAACATGGGACTATTGGCCAACATGGCTGAGGCTTCTGGGAGCTGAAGTCCCTCGGCCCTTAAAGGGGAAAGGTTGCCTACCCCTGGCATATACACTTGTCCTTCCACATTTGCTTGGGTTTAGGGGCACAGGACCCCCATGAATGTGAAAAAACTGCAAATAACAAAACACTATGTTTTTACCTGAGAGAACACCTCTCTAGGAATCTCTAGGTCCTCCAGAGCAACTCTGTGGTCAACATCTGCCAGACACTGACCATAGAATTGCACTGGAGGAACTACAAATGCCTAGTGGAATCTTCTCTCTAGGAATCTCTAGGTCCTTCAGTGTGACTTTTGGTTAAAGTTGACCACAGAGTTGCGCTGGAGGACCTAGATGTTCTTAGAGAGTACATATAAATCAAATCCATGAATAATCAAATCTGCAAAAGTCAAAGCCACAAATGTGAAGGGACAAGTGTATACACACACATTTGAGGTGGGGTGTATGCGTATTTGCAGCTTTGACTTTTGTGAATTTGATTGTTCACAATTTAATATGCTCTCTCTAGGAATCTTGAGGTCCTCCAGCATGACTCTATGGCCAACTTTCACAAGACATTGCACTGGGGTACCTAGAAGGTGTTCTCTCAGATAAAAATAACTGGGTTTTTAAATTATTTTTTATTATTTTTTTATTTTATTTTATCATTTTATTTTATTTGCATTTTTTCCACTTTCATGGGGGACCTGCATCCCTAACCCTAGCAAATGTATGAACAGTTGGCCATCCACATTTGCGGCTTTGACTTTTGCCGATTTAATTATTTGCAGTTTCGATAAATATGTTCTCTCTCAGAATCTCTAGGTCCTCCAGAGTGACTCTGCCAGAAGTTAACCATAGAGTTATGCTGGAGAACTAGAAGTTCCTAGAGAAAACACTTCTTTAGGCATTTGTGGGTCCTCCCAACATGATTCTATGATTAACTTCTGGCAGATGTTGACCACAGAGTTGCACTGGAGGACCTGGAGATTCCTAGACAGGTGTTAGAATCATAGATTCATAGTTAGAAGAAAACATCAAGGGCCATCCAGTCCAATCCCCTGCCATGCAGGAACTTTTCCAGCCTCTGTTTAAAGACCTCCAAAGGAGACTCCACTACTCTTCCAGGGAGAGTGTTCCACTGTCGAACAGCTCTTACTGTCAGGAAGTTCCCTCTAATGTTGAGGTGGAGTCTCCTGTTCTCTCAGGTAAAAAGAATAGTGGGGTGTTTTTTTATTATTATTTGGGTTTTCCTCACATTCACAGGGATTTTTCACCCCTAGTCCCAGCAAATGTGGAGGGATCACTGTATATATGTGTGTGTGTGTAAACATACATGTATACATTTGTTGCTAACTGCCCTTGAGTCGATCTCAATCCATGGCAACCCTGTGGATGAGACACTCCCTGTCTTCCACTGCTCTGGTCAGTTTCTGCATATTCTTACCCATGACATCCTTAATAGAGTCCATCCATGTAGAATGCAGCCTTCTTCTCTTTCCACTCCTTCTACCTTTCCTAGTAGCATTACTGGTTTTTCTAGTGAGTCCTCCCTTCTCATGATGTGTCCGAAGTATGATAGCCTCAGTTTGGTCATCTTGGCTCCCAGGAAGGTTTCCGACTTGAACTGCTCTAGGACTCATTTCAAATCATAGAGTTGGAAGAGACCACAAGGGCCATCCAGTCCCAAACCCCTGCCATTCAGGAACTGAATGTTTGCCCTTTTGGCTGTCCATGGGGTGCTCAGCTCTCTTCTCCAGCACCACATCTCAGATGAACTGGTTTTCTTCCTATCTTGTTTCTTAACTGACCAGCTCTCACATCCACACACGGGAATAGGGAATTCAATGGCTTGTATGATTCTGACTTTTGTGCTGAGTTGCATATCTTTGCATTTTAGAATCTTTTCTAGTTCTTTCACAACCACTCTCCCCATTCTTAATCTTCTTCTGATTTCCTGGCTGCAGTCCCCATTCCTATCCTATGTTTGATCTCAGGTACGAGAACTTTATAATTATTCCTATTTCATCATTGTCTAGGTTGAATTTGTGTAGGTTCACATACACATACATATATATACACACACACACACACACAATGGGCTCTTCACATGTGTGTGTGTGTGTGTGTGTGTGTGTGTACATATATATATATATATATATATATATATATATATATATACACACACACACACTCACACAGAGACACCTCTTCCTCCATAGACACACACACACACATATATATACACACATATAAAAGGTAAAGGTATTCCCCGTTGACAAGGTTGTCCATTGTGTCTGGCCATAGTGGGCGGTGCTTATCTCTATTACTAAGCCAAAGAGCCAGCATTGTCAGAGACTAATCTGTGATCCTGGGGTCAGCATGATTACACAGAACGCTGTTTACCTTCCCACTGAGGTGGTACCTATTTATCTACTTGCATTTGCATGCTTTCTAACTGCTAGGCTGGCAGAAGCTGGGGCTAGTGATGGGAGCTCACCCCATCATGCAGCACCCAGGCTTGACATATTGATAAATAGATAGCTAGATAGATAAGAAATATAGATACATACACACAACACACACACACAC